AACATGACACACACTAGAGCTACCTGGGAAGAGAGAACCTCAATCGAGGAACTGCCTCCATTAAACTGGCTTGTGGGCATGTCATTGGGGGCATTTTCTTGATTGATGGGTATTGTGGGAGGTCTCAGCCAACCATGGGTGGTGCCACCCCTGGGAACATGGTCCTGAGTGGTGTAAGAAAGCAGGCTGGACAAACCAGGGAAAGCAAGGAAACCAGTAAAACCAGTGTCCCTCTACAGCCTTTGTTTCAGTTCCTCTTTCCAAGGCCCTTCCTTGGCATCCCTTCATGATGGGTTAGGTAACCCCGTAGGCCAAGCGCACTCTTTTCTCCCTAGTTGGTTTTGATCATACTGTTTTGTTAATGGCAACAGAAAGCCAGCTAGGATGACGTCTGAGTGGGTTGTTGTCTGAATTTTATCCTCTGTTCCTGACTGTTGTCCCCTTTGTTCTTGTCTGTTAACACTTTCCAATTGTGATTCTTAGCCAGTTGTAATTGGTTCATTTCCTACATTTCTGTTTCATGCTTCTGGATTTTTAATTTCCTTGCTGACTTTTTCTCCATACTTTTGGATTTCTTCTACAAATGAACGCCTGTCTCATTCATTTTGCTGGCGCTTTTTGTCTAGAGCCTGAATTGGCCTCTTTATTACACTCACCTGATTATTAGAGTCCTCAATATGGTTTTTGTATTAGATTTTTATTTATTCTATTTTGTGTCAATGAATGCATGAAGGTATATATACCATGTACATACCTGGTGCCCGTGAAGGTCAGAAGAGAGCATTAGATCCCCTAGACCTGGAGTTTCAGATGCTTGTGAGCCACCATGTGGGTGCTAGGAACCAAACCAGGTCCTCTGTAAGAGCAACAAGTGCTCTTAACCACTGACCACCTTCCTTGCTTTGCTCACATCCTCGAATTGATCTCTTTATCAAAAATGGGGTTCTGAAATATTGTTCTAACATTTCAGCTACTTCATTATCTTAACTTTCCAGAACTGAGGAGTTGTGAGCTTCTGGAGGTTTTATTTCTTTTCCCTCTTTCCCAAATCTTTTATGTGTCTGTTTCATTTTATGTGAGTCCCCTGGTGAGTGGTCTTCCTTTGGATTGTGTCCTCCACTATTATTTAGGAGTGACGCAGACTGCAGTCTCTGATACAGAGACCTGACAGCAGGCTAGTGTTGTGTTGCAGAAGATACTTGTGTGCTCCCATGTTTGTGTCTCTGATAAGATTCAGAAGACAGCATCACTATGTGGGAAGGCCTCCTTCTGCCTTCTTGTTACAAAGCCATCTCTGGTGTTTGGGGAATCATTTTTTTCCACAAGTGAGGCTCCCAGGGAATATGTTAGATCTGCCTACTTGTGTTTACTGTTGTCTTCCAGACCTGCCAGAGACTACCTTAACTTCAGTAGTACACTTCCACATTCCTGTGTGGCTTGCTCATACAGACATGATGCCTCTCCATCAGCCAATTTTAGCATGCCAAAGAAGAACCTTAGGTTCAGGCTCCTGTGGTATATTTCTGCTTCCACCTCTACAGCCTGATCTACTCTGGATGTCTCTCCATGCACACTTCTTCAGGTACTCTTTACATCTCTGCAGCTCAGAAGTCTTCGTCCAGCTCCTTGCTCCCATGGTGCCTATGTTCTAGAGGAGAGGGCACCTCCCTGGCAGCTACCACTGATCTTGCACTTAAATTATTGTAAATAGGCTGTAGCACTTGTGACATCTCCTCGGCACAAGTGCCATTTATGCTCATCTTGTTACTCTACTCTTTTTTCATAATTTTTTCTCTTTTATTGAAAATAGATGTTTTTCCTCACATAATAGATCCTGATTATGATTTCCCCTCCCTCTACTCCTCCCAGCTTCTTCCCACCTCCCTGTCCATCTGAATCTACCCCCTTCTGTCTCTCATTAGGAAAAAACAAATGGATTTCTATGGGATAACAATAAAATAAAATATAATAAGATAAAATATAATAAGATAAAACAAAAGTAACACATAAGAATTGGACAAGACAACCCAGCAGAAGGAAAAGAGCCCAAGAGAAGGTACAAGAATCAGAGATCCACATGTTTGCACACTCAAGAATCCCATAAAAGCACTAAACTGGAATCCATGGTATATACACAAAGACCTGTGCTGTGGGATGTTCTGTATGGCAAGTGTGTTGCTAATTAGTCAATAAATAAATCACTGATTGGCCATTGGCTAGGCAGGAAGTGTAGGCGGGACAAGGAGGAGAATAAAACTGGGAAGTGGAAGACTGAGTCAGAGAGACGCTGCCAGCCGCCACGATGAGAAACAGAATGTGAAGATACCGGTAAGCCACGAGCCATGTGGCAAGGTATGGATTAATGGAAATGGATTAATTTAAGCTGTAAGAACAGTTAGCAAGAAGCCTGCCACGGCCATACAGTTTGTAACCAGTATAAGTCTCTGTGTTTACTTGGTTGGGTCTGAGTGGCTGTGGGACTGGCGGATGACAGAGATTTGTCCTGACTGTGGGCCAGGCAGGAAAACTCCAGCTACAAATGGCGTCCAACGTGGTGGCAAGAGTTTCCACCTAAAAACTGAGAAAAAAGATTCTAAAACGGAGCTAAAAACAGTTCCTAATTGTCTCTCTCAAATGAGCGGCAGCTGCTGGTTTGAACTACTGGTGGGTTCCTAGCATGCGTGCTCGACCTGCCTATGGCGGGAATGAGGCCTTTGCAAGTGGCACTTTGAGCTGCATGGTGGATTTAGCCTTTGCTGGTGCAGAGCAAAAGGGGAGGTTTCTGGGCTACACGCTGCTTGGCTAAAAGCATAGACCCCCGATAGCTCCCAGAGCTGGCGGTAAACCAAGGCCATGTTGGGAAGCTGAGGTGGGTGGAGCCAGCAGCCACAGCTGCTGCAGCTTAAAGCAATAGATTCACAATAAGACAGATTCAGATGTAATAGTTTACAATGTGTGTAAAAGATACATAGGCTTGAAAGAGACAAAAAAGATGATAGAGTTATAGAAACAAATACATAGTTTAAAAAAATAAAGTCTTTAAAGAGACAGTAAAGGTAGTATAAAAAATAAGCCACGTAAAAATGGATATTACACAGAGAATCTGCATTGTGTTGTCTTTGGGACTTTTAACTGCAGAAAAACATTTGATTGTAAAAGCTGTCGAGTTATGCCAAAATGTATATTTTAAAGGTACCTTGACTTCAAAATTTGAATATAAGGATATGTTGCTTTGGAAAGGAGACTCTGTTTTTGTTTCCACAGAAAGCCAGAGGCTATGGATTTGTTCCAGATTAAGACACATCAGGTTTGACCAGCCAAGGCCCCCTGAAAGGTCTCCGATGACACCATGGCCCAGATGATCCAACATCCAGAATGGTTTGAAGGCAACTGGCTCAGACGATACAGCCTCATGGACTACTCCATAATCCTAAAATTTTCTTTGTTTCCCCATAAGATACAGCGCCCCCCTCCAGCAGGAAGTAGTAAGAGAAGCTACGCCCAAATTCCCAAATTATATGTAATTTTACTTTAAGGTTAAAACCTTCCTTTTTGAAAAAAAAAATGGGGGAAGTGCTGTGGGATGTTCTGTATGGCAAGTGTGTTGCTAATTAGTCAATAAATAAATCACTGATTGGCCATTGGCTAGGCAGGAAGTGTAGGCGGGACAAGGAGGAGAATAAAACTGGGAAGTGGAAGGCTGAGTCAGAGAGACGCTGCCAGCCGCCACGATGAGAAACAGAATGTGAAGATACCGGTAAGCCACGAGCCATGTGGCAAGGTATGGATTAATGGAAATGGATTAATTTAAGCTGTAAGAACAGTTAGCAAGAAGCCTGCCACGGCCATACAGTTTGTAACCAGTATAAGTCAATGTGTTTACTTGGTTGGGTCTGAGTGGCTGTGGGACTGGCGGATGACAGAGATTTGTCCTGACTGTGGGCCAGGCAGGAAAACTCCAACTACAGACCTGTAGGGTAAAAAAAGAATTTAGAAGATATATATATATATATATATATATATATATATATATATATATATATATATATATAAATTAAAATAAAAATAATAAGTTTTTTGAAGAGCCCTGGCAGGACATTATGAGACAAGGACCTCCAAAGATGTCATTGAGTTCATTTGCTGTTGGCCATGTACTGCTGGACATGCAGCCTACCGTTAAAAGTAGTTTGTTTCTTCAGTGAGATTCCCTTGGAGGAAACTAAATTTTAATTTGCAAGTGGTTATCAGTTGGAGATAGCTTCTGAGCTAGTGATGGGGGCTTGCACCCACTTCTCCTTTCAGCTTAAGGATCCTCATTTGTTTCTGGCAGTAAAGCACTCTTAATCCTTTTCGCTCTCTCCTTTTATGTATAATCTGTCTCTGTCTCTGTATTTGTCTCTCTGTCTCTGTCTCTCTTCTTATCTCTGTTGTTGTCTTAGCTCACAGATGCTAATTGCCAACTGGACAACACAGTATGACTCTCATGTTGCCCAATGTACTAGTAAATGTGTTTTTGGTTGTTTTTTTTTTTTTTTTTGTCATTGATGCAATTTTGCAATATTAACTTCCAGTTTCATTATTCTTAGTTTCTATCTCAATCTGTACTTTTGAATCAATTTTCATTAAAACATTCCATGTTCTGTTACTTTAAATTCATATCTGTATTCTTTTTCTTTTTGAGACAGGGTCTCACCGTATAGCCCTGGCCTACCAGAAATCCTCATATGGACCAGGCTAACCTAGAGCTCTCACAAAGATCCACCTGCCTCTGCCTCCTGAGTGCTGGGATTAAAGGCGTGTGTCTCATATCTTTATTCTTATTTGATTAAGTTTCAAATATTTGCATTCTTTGAAATTTTCATACATGTATACAGTGTATCTTCATCATATCCACCCTCTAATTTCTCCCAGTCCCCCCAACACATCTGTCTCCCAACTTCATTCCCTTAAAAAAGATTGAGTCCATTTACTGTTGCCTATACATGTGTGTTTACAGGGCCATCGACTAGGGAATGGGGAATCTACCAGAGGCCACTCCTCCAAAGAAAAGTGACTCTCCCACAGCACTCATCAACTGCTCGTAGCATCTTGCCTAGGGATGGGACATCAGGAGTCCTTCTACCATCCATGCTGGAATATCGACTGGCTTGATCTTACACAGGTCATGTGCAGGTAACCGCAGCTGCTGTGAGTTTACATGTGCAACAGTCATGTCTTGTCTAGTCATGCTGTCAAGCTACCTTCTGGATATTTACATTTATCTTCATTGTTTTATGCTGCATTCAACCACGGTCAGAGAAGCTTCTTATTGCAGTGGGTAGTGGTTAATGTAGAGACTTGTAACTGTGAAAAGTGCTGAGGACAAAGTGACTGAGAGTGCTAAGCTGTAGACAGGACACCTATATTAACCTCCAAGGCTCAGGAAACATCAGAGAAGGGAAGGCAAAAAGAATGTAAGTTGTAAAATGATGTTTTCTGTTTGTTTGTTTGTTTGTTTGTTCATTTGTTTTTTGTCTTATGATGTCTCCTATAAGCTGAAAGACCTTAGACTTGCAGGCATGCCCAACCCTTGACATTCCAACAAGACACTGTCATCTACAAAGTTCATGCTTAAGAATCATATAACCAAATGACAAAAACAAATCTCATAATGTTTTGGTAAATTTGCTGTTTTATATTGGATTGCATTTATAGTTCTCCTCGGCTATATGCATCCCCAGTGGACCACAGGTTGGACACACCTGGAGCTGTTCTTGTCCAATAATCTTAAATCTCTTCCATTTAAATAACCCTATCAGATATGTTTGAAGTGAGTTTTAGGAGAGCAACTATCTCCTTTCTCCTCTTCCCTTTCCTTCTTCCCCCTGATTTTCCTTGTTGATGTTCAGGTTCTGTTTTGTCTTTTTCGGTCCACAAACTTTCTATAATCTTTTATAATAACTTAGTAGACAGATAACACCTTTGCCATTCCATGCCTGACTTTTAAAAGATAGTCTTAATCTATTTTTTGTTAGGAACTTAAAACAGATCTGGAGAGATGGATTAGTGCTTAAGAGGACTTAATGCTCTTATAGAGTATTGCCACCTGGGGGACCAGCCTCCAGGCATCACAGGGCTCAAAGGGAAATCCACAGGACTTTTCCATCTGAGGGGATTGGAGAAAAAGACACTCCCACACTCTCTTGATGGTTTCCTTCTTTATGTGGAGGCATGGATGGGGTCTAGCCTCTTATAATGGACTGACTGGACTGGACTGACTGGGGGTGGGGGTGGGGTTGGCTTTGACTGGACTCGAGGAACAGCTGCACAAAAGCATATTTATAGATGGTTACATAAAGTATTTCCTCATACCAAGGTCCCTAACCTTAATTTACATGTCTTACTGAAGGAGACCATCGCATGCCTCCGTGACTCTAGTCCTTCATTATGCATTGTATGCAATACCACAATAATAAAAGAGCCCCAGATGTGCCTGAGGTGTCTTGTGACCAAAGTCATGGGATGGCCTCAAGGACCCCTCAGCAAAACAATCATTGTCTTCCACAAGGATTCCTCAAGGTCAAGGTACTTTTAAAAAACATCTGTTCATTTTAATATCTATCCCTTACAGTGATTCTGCTAAGCTCCTACAGAGTACAGGTAACAATATGTTTTTCATCTCCCTTACATGATTAAAAACAAAGTCATCCCAATATCCCATATACATTAATGTCTAAGTAACTTACTACAGATTCACAGAATATGAGCAGACAAAGTATTTTTTCACAGCCAACTCTTTTGCTGGCAGGCTGCATACTGCAGTTACAAAGAAAGAATCAATAATTTTTTGTTTATCTTGAAAGTTAATTTTATGAGGAATCTTAAAGGAATAACAAACCCAAACTTTTGTAAATAAACGAAAATTAGTCATCTGTATGTACCTTAGATCTTTAGGGTGTATACCTATTTATTAATAGTTTCTTCTATAAGGAGATTGAGAGCAGGAATGGGTACAGGGAGTTAATCATAACCTTTGATCATCAACCAACCTTAACATTTGGGCTGCTTTGTATTTTTTACCTCAGCTATGTGTCCTTGTGGACTTTAGATTATTTTCTGTATTTTTTTCCATCTTAAAGCTATTGTCGAAAAGTCTGATCTAATCTGGTTATTTCAAGGCTTTGTTTCAGCTAATAATGTACATCAAAACCCTTGACTGCCTCTTTTCAGCATTAGCATCTTTCAGCATTAAGATTATTAGAGCTAGCTTGGCTCCCAGGGAATTCAATTGCTTTCCTTAATCATTAACCTGAGCTGTGATCTAAAGCAGCTCCTTAGGTGGAACTCATAAGCCTTAGCTGTGAAACATATCCTTGTATATACCTTTATTCATCAAAGTTCTGTATAAGGTAATATTATCAATTAGATGGTACAGCTTAGGGAGGAAGTCATCTTCATAATAATTCACTGGTAAAAATGCCCAGTAGAACAGGATGTATCCATGAAATAAACACATTACCTTACAGGCAGTAGGGAATTTCCCCACATCCAATCCAACCATGCTGGATACCAGAGGAAGATGGCAACAGCAAACATGTAAAGGCACAGCAGACACAAAAGACATTCCCAGGTCTATGGTCTCAGGGGCCTTGCCTAACCAAGAATTATTCACTAGGGGGTTGCCTCCTGGTACACCAACACCCTGAACCTCAATCACTACCTGTTGCTCCTCTGACATGGCCACTGGCCGTAGAGGACCTTGGTTCAGTTCCCAACAACTACATGGTGGCATACAAACAGCTATAATTCTAGTTCCAGGAGTTCTGACACCTTCTTCTGGCCTCTACAAGCACTGAATGCATATGGTGTGCTTACATATGCAAATGGACACTGAATGCATGTGGTAAACTTACATACAGGCAAAAACCATTCATACACATAAAAAGAAAAATTATTAAAATCTAAACAGTTACTTTGGGCTTCATTTTGTAAAAAAAAATTAATTCCTTTATGCTCTCTTCCTCTTTTTTATGTGTATTAATTTTCTCTTACCAACAAATATTGACCCAGAAACACTCAATACTGTAAATAAACATTATCAAACTATATCTGCAGGCTATTTCCAACATTCATGGTAGGTAACCTGTTGAAATATAACGACACACACATACCCATTCTTTTTTGAGTCAGGGGCATGGAAACATGCATAACTTAAAAATTAAAACTATGAATTGCCTTAAAAAGCTGATTGGGCAGGAAATGGAAAGCATAGTAATATTGGTTACATTGTTCTCTAGAAGGCAGATTAAACTTAAATAGGCTGAGTATACACCAGGATGTATAATGTATAATGTATTAAAAAACAACTTTCTTGTAAAACTCTATTAAAGATTTCTGTCCCCAGACTCTGTTAAAGATTTATTTCAGGTGCTATGATTTCTCTGCTGTTCAATAAATACAAAACAAAGCCATTTGTTAAGGACCAGCAGGACAGACATCAAACACACACACACACACACACACACACACACACACACACACGTACATGCACGTGTGCCAGTGTGCCAGGTAACAGACAGACTATAGATAGGCCAGTAATCACAAACTATAGAGAGATGGAAGATACAGAGAGAGAAGCGGACAATTCAAATTTGGGCTTGCAAAAATTATTGTTTTCATTCCTTGATGCTACATCAAGACATTTTGTTGCTCCCTGAAGTTATCTTTAACATGTTAAACTATGCAGTGAACAAAAGGTGACAGTTTGACAATGATGTGAAGGGCACAAGTGTCTCATTGTGACTCTCTTCTCTCTAGCCAGGGCTTTAACATAAGATCACAGTTACACTCTCTGGACAGCTGTGGCCACGCCCATCTTTGAGGCTATTGACCAGATGAGAAAGATGTACCTTCACACACATACTCCAGCCAGAAACTAAGTTACCTAGTTATCTGATAGCTAAAAATGGAGTGATTTTTTTATCATAGGAATGTCATGCGTGCTGGAACATGCTCTCTTCGTCTAATGTTTGCTTTAAGCAATGAAATTCTAACAAACTGCCTCTGTCTGGAAGGTTCTGAGACTCATCTGGCAACATCCCCATGAATTTAACTGTCATTGACAGTCACCTCCCCCGCAACAATGCTATCAAAAGTTATACCTGGTAGGCCAGGGGGGTCTCCACTCTGGTCGGAGAAGTCCCATTCCATACCCACCTTGGCAGGGGTCAGATTGGCTGAGAGCACCTGTCTCCAGGGACATTTAGGGGTTCAAGGAGATCATGCCAGTCCCTTCAATATGGTTCTTCCAAATTAAATGAGCATTATCCTTTAGTCTGAAGTCTCATCATCATCTGGATCCTCTAGAGCTGCTGACAGAGGAGAGAGGAAAGAGGAGAGAGGAGGGAGGGAGGGAGGGAGGGAGGGAGGGAGGGAGGGAGGGAGGGAGGGAGGGAGGGAGGTAGAGAGAGACAGAGACAGAGACAGAGAGACAGACAGAGACACACACACAGAGAAGCCCATTCACCCCATGTATATTAGGGCTGGTTCCTTCTGTACTGTTTTTGAGATAGTGCTTTGTCTATTACAACACAGGCAGTTTTGGCTCCTTGAGGAATACAATGGCTAAGGAGTAAGAGAATCCTATTGGCACCAAAGCCATGTGCTGTGGATGGCTCTCTCAGCCCTCCAGAGTGCTCATATTACTAGAAGATTCCAGAGCTGCTTCCTCTGTTGACTCTTTCATCTGGAAGGTACTAAGAAACAAAATTTGCTGTTGGGAAAACTGAGGCTGAGTGAAGGAACATGGCATTCTCAGTACAGGGCAGCTGGTCAATGAATGAAATGGGTCTTGATCCAGTTCTTTTCTAATCCAGAGTCCTTTTCTGGGCTCTTCACTTCATGCCTGAAACTATGCTAACCACAGTCATTATCTCATGTCATTCTCAACACCAGTCTGTGGTCACTACTGATGAAATTTGGCTTACAAAGGCCAATCCTTTGTTCCAGGCTACACAGGAGTTCAATGCAGTGGTAGGTCCCTTTGCTGTGGCTGTGGGCTCTGGGGATATAGCTCTTAGACTTTGAAAGGAGATGTGTGGGCCTTGTCCCCCTAGCCATCCTCAGAATGATCTTAAGTAACTCTGCTCAGAAAACAAGAATGCAGCTGGGCCACAGCGAAAACTGAAATAAGA